TCATTCCTTCTTCGCCGACTCCGTCCACACCTTTGGGAACCCCTGGACCTGCTGGGGCTGGACCCCAACAGGATCTAGCCTGGCCTGTATGGTTCAGTGGTTGAGCTTAGACCTATGAACCAGGAGATCATGGTTCAGTTCCTAGTCAGGGCACATGCCAGGGTTGTGAGCTCAAACCCCAGTAGGGGCCTACAGAAGGCAGCTTATCAATGATTCTCATCACTGATGTTTCCTTGTCACTCTCACTCTCCCTTCCTCTCTGAAATCAATAAAAAAAAAAATTTTTTTTTTAAAGAGAACTGAACCTGATCTGTTTTCTTGGATTTGGGGACTCCCAAATAAATATGTAAATCCTATCATCTGATCCAAACTGTTTACTGTACATCTCTACTTCATTAAAGATCTAGCAAACATTTATTAAGCATCTATCATGTCTTTTTTTTTTTTTTTTGAGTTTCTCCTTTTCCTTGGGGTCTAACCTGTGACCTCTCAGACATCTCTACCTCCAGGAACATACTGCCCTTCCCCACACTCTCTAGTCTCATGTAAAATAGGAATTCTTCCAATTCTCCACTTAGTATAGCTATGACAGCACAGATTGTTAAAAATAAATCTTGAGTGATATAAAATAAGTAAAAACACAGTGGCATAAAAAAGTGAGGTCAAAGTTTATATATCTAATCTTAAAACTAAATTTTAACCTCTACACCTCATTCATTCAATAATAATTTAAAAGCACCCTCTCTGGTCAGGTTCTGGGGGCTGGGGGGAGGAAGCGGAGGAGCAGGACTACCTAACGTCCTCTCTACTGAGAACACCTATTTCCCCACCTTCCTATTAATGTTTTAGACTCCAACTCCAATCGCACTTTCTCAATGAGAAAATTCTTTTCCTTGGACAAGTGTAATCATTTTAAATTCTATTCTCAAAGCACTTTCCTCACATCACTCTTCTGGCATTTATCACACTGAATTATGATGACTTCTTTAAGTCTCTTAGCCTCCATCCATAGACAGTGAACACCCTGAAGACAAGGATCACATTTGATTCATCTTTGCAGCCTAAGAGCCCAAAACAGTTATCTGTCAAACAGGAAGCATTAATGTTTGCTATCATGGCCCAAGACTGCTGAGAATGATCATTCCTCTCATCACATCTTAATGCGCCAGTATGTTCATTCATTAATTCATTCCCTCATTCTTTCAGCAAATACATACCCATCACACAATGTGTCCTAATGCAACGCTAGGTGCTGGCAGTGCAAGGGGAGTAAAGCAGACATGGTCCCTAGCCTCAGCTCTCACAATCTACAGCAGGATACGGTACATGGTATATGTTTACAAACAACATTCTGTAGGACATCTCAGTCAATCCTACAGTTTTAAGTACCACCTTGAATAACTTCAAAATTAATATTCAAACCCAGAACTTGCCAACATGTTCTTGATTCCCACATTCAACAGCCTTGTCAATACTTTCAATGGAATGTCCACAGGCATCTCATACTTACCATGGCCAAAACAGAAATCCTGACATTCCCCACTAAACCATCTCTTTTCCCAGCCTTCCCCATCACAGTAAATGTCCAAATCGTTCGCCCAATTGTTCAAATTAAGTTCAGTTTGTCTCGTCTTCCATCCCTCCACAAACCTACTGCCTCTAGTTTCAGAGTATATCGGTCTACTTCAATCTTTAATAGTAGAGGTGACCATCATTAACTGGACCAAACGGTAACCCTATTACTACTTTTGCTCTCCTACCCCCATTCCATTAATTAATGTGGCACGTTAGCCACAGTGATCTTTCCAATAAATTACTCATTGGATTGCAATTAAAATCTGTATTTAGAATAAAATCCAAACTTCGTACCTCAGCCTCCAAAACTGTATATGATCTGGTCCCTACACATTCTCTGTCCTTATCTCATACCATTCTCCCTCTTCTTATGTTTGCGACCGTGGCTTTCTTTACCTTCACACAGTAAGACCATTTGACATGCTATTTCTTGGACTGCTCTTCCCAAGACTAGCTCTTTTCTTTCTTTCTTTTTTTCACTCAGGTCTTAGCTCAAACATCACCTCAGGGAGGACTTTCCTGCCTTTCATACCTCACCGCAGTCCCTGTCACAACATCTTGTTTCATTTTCCTGATAGCAGTCATCACTGTCTGAAACTATACTGTTCATTTGTCCGGCTCCTGCCTCTAAAATATAAGGTCCATGAGAGAAGGAAACTAAGATATGACTTTTACTACAAAAAATGCAGGTATATGAAAAATGGTGGACCTAATGTAGTCTAAATTGTCAGTAAACGCCTCTCCAAAGTAATGAAGATGAACTATGCTGAATTAGCCATATAAAGGAAGGGAGGTGGGAGGGAGAGGATTCCAAGCAGAGGGAACAATAACCAAAGGCCAGGAGGTTAAAACTGCAAGGCACATTCAAATAAGTGCAGCTCAGTATGACCACAGCTGAGAGAGACAGGGAGAGGAAAGTGAGAGGAAAACGAATATAAGCGCAGGCCAGGTTACACAATACTCTGAACATTTCGGTTCTTTTCCTAAAGACACAACTCCTTAAAGATCTGAAGAAGGTAAGTAATATGGCCAGGTCTGCACTTGTGTAAAATCACCTCCACAGCAGTAGGAAGAATGGGCGGAGGAGAGCAAGAGGAAAGACAAGGCAGGTTAGGATGCCCGGGTACAGGCAGCAATCAATGGCAACCTGGGTTCGGGTAGAGACATGTGGCGAAGCAGATAGATTTAAGAGCTTATTTCGAATGTAGCCATGCGGGGTTAAGGGAAAGGGAGGACTCAAAACGACTCCAAGGCTTCTGCCCTGGCCAGCCCGCTGAGACGGGGGCCAGGGAGCAGGCGGGGCGGTAACCTCTGCGCCCCACTATTCGCACTCCGATCCGACACACAGCGCAACGCATGAGAATTAGGAACGTTTCCGAGGGCTCCAGGCTTGTGCTTCCCTATTCAAAGTCAACCGCGGTGCACAATGCAACACAGCCAACAGGTTCCAAACCAACGCGCGCAGGCCGCAGGGCGCTCCGACACAGGTGCGTCCACTCGGCACGCGTTCTCGTCGCTCCATTCAAAAGCCAGGTAACTCTACGCCCGAGAAACAGCCCAGCCCCTTCCCAACCACCAGCTCGGCATCAACTCCCTAAGACGCTCCCTGCCGGTCTCAGGGAGACCAGGGTGCTCCCTCTCCCGCGGACCCATCGCTCCGACGACAGACTCTCTGACGACGAAGCTCGCACGGTAACTTTCTGTTCATGCCCGTCTTCCCTAGAAGGAGACTCCGCCGGGCGGGAAGGCCTCCTGCCCCATGGCAACCCCAGCACCCAGCGCGTCCTCCTCCCTCACACACGCCGTGCTCGCCCCATCGCACCTGGGTCACGAACTCCGCGTTGATCTGGGACACCGTAGGGGCCACGATTTTCTTGGGCTGAGCTGGAGCCGCCATGGCAGCACTCGCCCTCCGCTCCAGTGGGGAAGAAAGGCCCGCTCCGAGCAACGGTGAGCCCGATGCACTTCCCCAGGGAGCGGTTGAGGCTGCACGCAGGGCAAGCACCTCCGGCCCGGAAATCCTCAGCCTTCACCGTCCCGCGGGGAACGCGACCAGCAGCCCCAACATTCCCCCGGAAGCGGTACGGAACTGAGCCGGAAGTCTCTGCAGGCGTTGGGTGTGACTAGAGAGGCAAGGCTTCGACCTCCTCCGCACGCGCCCCCTAGCGGCAAGCTCAGAGAAAACACCAACCGGCCGGATTTTGAGGTCTCAGCGAGCAGCGCGCCAAGTAAAGATGGTGTTTAGTGAGGGTTTCTCTAGGTATGATTGCGGGGCGTGGGACGACTTAATGTTTCTTTCAGCTATCAAAAAGCAGTAGTGGAGCCGAAACCGGTTTGGCTCGGTGGATAGAGCATCGGCCTGCGGACTGAGGGGTCCCGGGTTCGATTCCAGTCGGGGGCATGTGCCTGGGTTGTGGGCACATCCCCAGTGGGAGGTGTGCAGGAGGCAGCTGATCGATGTTTCTCCCTCATCGATGTTTCTAGCTCTCTATCTCTCTCCTTTCCTCTCTGAGAAAAAATCAATAAAATATATAAAAAAATAATTTAAAAAAAAAAAAGCAGTAGTGGAAAAACAGACCGAGAATGAAGGTCTTGGTTTTAACTGTTTTTAACAGACTCATGGATAACTAAGTTGACTACAATGACCTGCACATAGAGTAAAATCTGATCCGTTTTCAATCATACATCCGTGAAAACATCACCGAAATGATAATAAACGTATCTATTGCCCCAAGTTTTCTCGTGCCCTTTTGCAATCCATGCCGATTGCCACTCGAACCCACCCATTCTCAGGCAATCACTGATCTGCTTTCTGTCACTCTAGTTGTATAGATTGGTGGTTACTTTTCATAGATTTTACACAAATGAAATAATATAGCATACACCTTTTGTCTTTTTTCCACTCAGCATAATGATTTTGAGCTTCATCCATGTCGATGCACCTATTAGTAGTTTATTCCTTTTTATTGCTGAATAGTATTCTATTAAATGGGTTTATGATAGTTTAACCTACTCGTCTGTGAATGAACATTTGGATTGTTTCCAGTTCTTGACTGTTATAAAGCTGCTATGAACATTTGTGTATATACATCTTACTATAAACATACATTTCCATTTCTCTTAATACCTTAGAATGAACAGGAAGGAAATTTTGAAAGTACATGCTGAATTGGCTTTGACCTCATCTTATTAGAAAGCAAATTCATTCCAAGAGTGAATGACAGGATCTAAGTGAAGTTACAGATTTAGGAGAATGTTAAGTTTGCAACAATGGCTCCGTTCATTTCTTCCTTTGTACACTCAGTATATATTTGAGGATATCAAGGTGTTTTAAACTGTTGTGTATAAAACACAAAAAGATGCATTCCCTTTCTTTCCATAAGCCTGTAGTTTAGTTCAGTGGTTTTCAAAGTGTAGTCTCAATTCCGCAGCAACAGCTAACCTGTATAACTGGCACTGAATCAGAAACTCTGAGGATGCGGTCAGCAATCTGTATTTAATAAGCCCTCCAATTCCAGTGCATACTAAAGTCTGAAAACCACTGTTCAACGGTGACAATAGAATTATGAACAAAGGGCAGTGGGAGCACAGTGGATGAAATGCTGGGTAAACTCATAAAGGCTTCCTATCACATGATCTCACTTATTTGTGGAATCTAATGAACAAAATGAATTGACCAACAAAATAAGACCCAAAGCAGGGAGGCATGGAAAAGAGGAAGGAGTATTTAAGCGTAAACTTCAAGAATGTATAGAAATTTGCTAATGCAAATGCAAAGTATTACACGTTCCATATCCATTTAATAATACCATCATACCACTTTTAAGTTTTATTTTCTTCTCTTAGTACTAATAGAATTCTTGCAGTTAGACCTGAAATTCTAAGCCCTTTTGACAACAGGAGAAATCTCAAGATAGGAATTAAATGTTACCTTTCCCTAAAGCTTCTGAAAAGAAAATAACTGTGCATAAAACAGTCCTTGCAAATGTTATTTCTAACAAAGGATTCTTGCAAGATAACCAGACTTCAAAGACTGTTGCTAAAATGTCTGTAATTCTAATTGGTTATCTTACATAAACATGTACATTGAAATCTGTTTTCTACAAGTCAGTTTTGAACACTTGAGTTTTTTCTCATAATCATGGCAGAAAAATGAATAAAACCTGGCTCAACTAAATTTCTTCTTTGAAGAGTATTAGTTAATTACTTACTAATTAACACTAAGTAAATGAGATAGAGGCAGGAAAAATAACAAGGACACTATGCACTGGAGGAACTAATTCCATATTCCTTTAGTACAAATCTGGAGAGGAAGGCCAAAGAGGAGGCTAAATGGGTGGGCAGGTAGATCATGTGACATGAAATGGAGTTAGCACATCCCTTTGTACGTGATAAGAAGCTATGAATGAAATGTACATGAACAAGAAAGTAAATGCTTAAATACCCATGTTAGGAAGTTCAGTATAGAAGGTGGATCGGAGTGGGCCTAGCAAAGTATGTGGTAATTAGTACCTTGATCCAGCATTATGTGATTTTTCCCTTAAAAAAAAAAGTCCAAACTGTGTAATTTGAAACTTTATTTTTAAAATATTCTGAAATTTGAATTTTTCAAGATTCTTAACCACCACCTACTTTTCTTCAACACATACACATTTTGTCCTAATATTGTAGAACCTATTGCAGTACAAAACAAGAAACAATCCCACTAACTAAGCCAATCAAATGACTTCTGTAAATAATCATGCTACAGCCTGGAATCATCCAAAGGAAAAATTCCTCTAATTCTCTTTAAAGATATTTATAAAGTTTATTTTTCAGAAAACCAAAGTAATTGATTCAATAACACTAATCACTCTGGCATGCAGCAACTCATCATTTAATATCAAATGTTTAATCTTTTCATGGATGTATAGAGTTTATTTTCACTCCTATATAGTTTCCACAAGAAGCTTGCAGTGATAGTAAAGGTAAATAAGTATTTTGTTACAGGTACTTCAAATAGCACTACAGTACATCTTTAACAAAATTTTTTACAATATTTCAACTTTCAATATGAAACAGTTTAAAAAGGCATAGGCCAAAAAAAATATACTATCACTTAGGCACACAAAGTCTAATAATCATACAACACTCTTAAGGACTCTCCCTGTTTGGTCTGGGAAAGAAGTATATGAGACATTTACTTCAAATAAAATTATATTAGCAGCTTAGGAAAATCCAAAAATACACAATTTCAGACATATTAAGGGGAAAAAACATCTTGAACCTTTATTCTTAGAAAGTATGAACTAGTTATTACTTGCTTTAATGTTACAGATGTGTTCTTGAAGTTTTGCCTACAGAAACTTCTATAAACCATCATGCTTGCACCGGAAGAACATACCTTAAGGAAACCTAAGAGAACTTACTCTTTAAAACATGACTCTCCTGCACATTTGTACATCATTGGGAATTTTATCTGTACTGCTTTGTGTCTTTAAATTAAGCCCGAGTTTCTCAAAATTCACTTGTAAAACATGTAAACAGTCCAACCCCTCCCTTTCACACACAATTCACAGAGTAAATTCAAAACTTACAACTGTTCATTTATTCGTTCTCAATAGAGGGCTTGTCACTGTATTTAAGTGTGCCAGAATACCCACCTGTTCTTTTCACCTTAGAAAGATAATGGTTATTATTTTTCTTTATTGCTAGGGAATGCTATTCTTAAAGATTTTATTAAAAATGATAAATATGAGGGGCAATTTGTGATTATAAGTCTTTTGTAGTTTAAGATGAAATATTTCCCAAATCATGACAGTACTGTTTAGAAGAATGATACCCTCAATTCTACAAGCATCTTATTCTTATACAAGAATAATTACCTTAATAATTAAAATAACAATTTACTAAGGATCAAAATAACATTATTTTGCATTAGAATCTTATGAATAAAAACCATAACTAGACCAAATCATTGATTTTTTGATCAAACAGAATAGATTTAAATCATAGGATCACTCAACTAGGTATTAAAAGAAAGTTTTACTAACATGTAAAAATTTACTGCTGTCATTAATGAATAAGCAAATAGGCAAATTACACTTATTCCTATGAAAAGATAACAGTGCATACATGTTAGCAAACGGTTGTGGCACGTGGACAATATCCCTGATAAACAAACATGTTAATGTATGGCGGTGCATCCTAATCTCTCTGCTACTTTTAAATTATTTTGGGAAAGACAACAGCAGATTGGGCAAAAAGTGACTATAATCACCTGTGAAAAAGGAGGTGAAGCTACCATAGAATCCTAAGACTAAATGGCTTGGAAAAAGATAATCACCTGTGAAAAAGGAGGTGAAGCTACCACAGAATCCTAAGACTAAATGGCTTGGAAAAAAAAACAGTGAAAATAATGCTATTTTCCCAT